GAGGGAAAACTGGGCAGCAGAACAGTTGAGTGAGTGTGGTTTTTGATGGACCCTAGTCATCAGCAGGAGGGATTGAACCTGCAATGTTAGGTGCTAAAGCCATGTGCCCATAGCAGTAGAGCAGAATCTTTACTCTGAGGGTATGTCTACACTATCCCGCTAGTTCAAACTAGCAGGGTAATGTAGGCATACCGCAATTGCAAATGAAGCCCGGGAAATTCAAATCCCGGGCTTCATTTGCAATTGCGGTATGCCTACATTACCCCGCTAGTTCGAACTAGCGGGGTAGTGTAGACATACCCAGAGAGAATGAGAGATTAATGCCAGTAGATGGGACAGTACACCACACCCAGAAGGTGTATGGGTTACACCTTCAAGTTAGAGTGTAACTGGCAGTCTCAGAGCCACTCTAACTTGAAGGTGTAACCCATACACCTTCTGGGTGTGGTGTACTGTCCCATCTACTGGCATTAATCTCTCATTCTCTCTGGGTATGTCTACACTACCCCGCTAGTTCGAACTAGCGGGGTAGTGTAGACATACCCAGAGAGAATGAGAGATTAATGCCAGTAGATGGGACAGTACACCACACCCAGAAGGTGTATGGGTTACACCTTCAAGTTAGAGTGGCTCTGAGACTGCCAGTTACATTCTTGCTGTGTGAGGTTGATCACAGTGGTCTGTTTGGTTCTTTGCTAAATAAAAGCACAGTACAGGGTCACATTGCTGAGTCAAACTACTAAATGGCTAACACGTGTAATGCCCAAGTCCTTCTGACTTTTTTAAAGACTTCTATAGCTGTTTTATCTCTCTACTTTACATTTCCATCTTCCTTGTGCTGTTTGTGCATCTTCTAATAATTTTTAGAGATGTTTTTACAAATTTCTATTGCTTGAGTGTATAGCTGCCAAGTTTTGAGGTGCTCCATGTGACATCTTATGAAGTTATTTAATGAGTTAATTTCCATAGTACAAAACTTGCATAGAGGCACAAACTTTCTTTTTTTTTTTTTTTTTTTTAAAGCTTTGTGCAGTTAGGCCTGACAAAAGGCAACAACTTAGTTGACCTCTAGTTGAAACAAATCACTAATTTCCTTCACAGGGTTGGCTTCATTGAGGAGTTATGAGAAGGCAGATCCTTATTCCTGGCACCCCTGAGAATTAAAGGGAAAATTTAGCTTTGTGGCAGGTAAATGAAGGTCTAAAGGAGGTGGTGGTGGTGTGCTGGAGGGAGTTAGCACCATTACTCCGTTCCATGCATTTGCTCCAGTCTCTACTTTGTCCTTCTATTCAATTGCTTAAATCCCCTATCATTCCTACTTCCAATCTGTTTCCCTTATAACTCTATAGCTACCTCCAGTCCCACTCTTAGCTTTCGACCAATAGGCCTTGAGTCCTCTAAATAGCTTCTCCTTCCCCTGGGTACCTCCCGTATCCACCCACTGGTGGGCAATATGCTGTAGCATATGATTTATGAGGAGAGGCTGAGGGATTTGGGCTTATTTTGTCTACTGAAGAGAAGATTGATGGGAAATAGCAGCTTTCAACTACCTGAAGGGGGCGGAGGGGTCCAAAGAAGATGGAGAGAAGCTGGTCTCAGTGGTGACAGAGAAAGGAACAGTGGTTTCAAGTTATAGTGGGGAGGTCTAGGTTGGATGTTAGGGGAAACTATTTCACTAGAAGGGTGGTGAAGCACTAGAGTAGGTTACCTAGAGAGGTGGTGGGATCGCCATCCCTAGAGGTTTTTAAGTCCAGGCTTTACAAAGCCCTGCCTGGGATGATTTAGTTGGAATTGGTCCTTCTTTGTGGTTGGACTCATTGACCTCCTGAATTCTTCCAACACTATGGGTACATCTGGACTACATGCCTCTGTCGCCAGAGGCATGTAGATTAGGCTACCAGGCATAGGAAAATGAAGCGGCGATTTAAATAATCGCCGCTTCATTTAAATTTACATGGCTGCCGTGCTGAGCCGACAAACAGCTGATCCACTGTTTGTCGGCAAGAGTGGAGAGGCATAGAGGCTGCCTCCTTTTTTGCAGTAGGGGCCACTGGGAAGATACTGGCAGCTCCCTATTTTCTGGTTTCTCTGAGCTCAACTGAGTGCATCATATTTTATTCAATTTGGCCTATGGGGATCTATAAGCTGGGGCCTGCATGCACTAGTGACCTGGGAAATGCATGGCATTTAGTGGCTCTCCTTGTGATATTTTGACAGTGAGGGTTTTCTCCGAACAGGCAGCTTGCTGTGAGCCTGGGTGGTAGAAAACCAGCATGAAACAAAGAAGACTTTCTGCCTCCCACTTCTATGGCTATGGAGCATGTGGTCCAGTGCCTTGCTTTCGGTGGCAGAAAGGGTGAAAAGTATTGGTGAGAAATATGAAATACAGCATTTCTTTTTCTGTTTTACAAGATGATGTAAGAAGTGAAAGTAACATGCCCACAAGTTGGAGGCAGGTGACGTGTGTGTTTCTATTCCCCCCCCCCCCCCCCC